GGTACAATTACGTCTTTGCCAGTCCAAGTGATGCTGTAGTTTACCCGAGTTAAAACCTTGCAAGGGTCGAACGTATAGTCTATATTCCAACTGACTGAGGAGAAACAAGCGTGTGGTCACGTGATGTGTGTGGGCAATGCAGATGGCTTTTTACATAGAATGTGTACATGCATGAAACGCCTGAAAGGTGCCGTGACGGTAGAGTGTCGACAAATATAAGAATTCATCTCTACTGGGATAAAGGATATTTCAAATGTAAAGTAGATCAAGGCATTGTAACTAGCAGCCGCGGTGGCTCCGAAGCAAAGCGCCGGCCTACGGATCCCCAGGTGGCTGGTTCGAATCCCGGTCGAGGTGCCCGCAATCTGACGGAGGCTTATTTACGAAGAAGGTGCCGTAGAACCGAGCTTTGGGTTGCAGGTCAGAGGATTCCCAGGTATAATCCTCAGTCCTCCGCTGGGGCGTGACAGATGCCCGTCGTTGGTTTGTCACGTAAAACCCCCAAATTTGAGGTTTTTTGAGGCATTCTAACCTCGCGCAAGAAAATGCTTCCTCCTCAGTAAAGATTCTTCCTTCCAGGAGCGATGGTGGTTTTCCCGGCACTCCGTCGTCTCCCTCGTGTTTCGATGGAGCCGGGTGACCGTGGAGTGTCGTGCGGTGGTGCGGGGATCTGCTGTTCTCGCCAGTCAGGAGCCGGAGAACTCGATGGAGGTTTTTCGATAGATATATTTACAAAGAATAACGAATATAGTACAAGGCTGTCACGCTGCTGCTGCCGCTCGCGGCAGCCCGACGTCGACAAAAGCGCCTCAGCGCCAAATCCGTTGCCGCGCACGGCAAGTTCTTTGCCCCGCAGGACAAAGTACGCGGAGCCCTCGGGACCGCGGGAGAATAACGTCTTGCTCCGCGCACGGGCTCGTTCAGACTCAACTTCTCCAAAAAGGTGCACCGACATTCCGAAGGGAGACCGGACCTCCCTCTCTCCCCCGAAGTCGCCAACATGGCCCTGACAAGGTCGCCTCCCCAATTACCTCGGCGGCAAGGGCGACCACCCGCGAACAGAGGTTTGTTTACTTCCCACGCGGGGAAATCTGCTTCCACTTTCGGGAGCTGGCTTGCGCTTGCCGCCAAAGGGAAAGAAGACATCGGGCGCCTCCGAAGGACGCTTCGGGTGACCGCGCCGCCAATTCCCCGAGCTCTTTCGGCTAAACTCCTTCGGCCATCCCTACACTCCTCACTACAACGGCTGTTCATGGTAGCTACGTAAGTACAAACAGAAAGTAGATTACGGGCTACACTACGAAGTGCTGTACAGGAACTTTTCAAAACTACTGAATAAAAAAAACAAAAACGATTCCATATCAAAGTAGAAGGAAGCTTGGTGAAATACACCATTCGTTTTACCATTGAACCAATGAACCTTCTTGGAACTGGATGACAGGCGTGACAATTTGCAATAACAAAATTTTAAAAAAGTAATAGTAAATTTCCATCGTTTCTGGAAAATAAAGTACAATGGAAAGCCAGCGATTTTCGCGTAGTACGTCTCATATTTGGCTTGGTATGCCGTGCATCCTCTGTTGTTGTTTTGTTCTTCACAATCTCTCCTGCCTGCTCCTTTTTATCTGAGGCAGCGAGGCACCCTCGACTTGCTTCCTTTCTCTGCATTTGCACAACACTTTTCGCCGGACAACCCTCACTAAACTTTCGACCTGTGTTTAAATTTAAAAGGGTAAAATCTTGTTCTTACCAATTCGCGATTGAATAAGCTCGGCCGCAGTAATATTCATGGGCACCAAAAATTGTGCCGAGAAGTTTAGGTCCCGCCGCCACGATGGATTCCCGACAGCCAAGTTAGGATATTTAAACTTGCACAGTTTTGAGCCAGCAAGAGGCGCGTGCGAAGTTCGTAAAAATTTAAAAAAGTAAAATATACACGAACAAAAAGTTAGGGCACAAACAAGCTTGTGAAGGTTTAACATTTTAGACAAAACACCGAGACTGGAGGGGAAAGGTCAACACGACCCAAAGTCTTAAACACAGCTCGGCTGTGTTTGAAACTTTGTGTTGTGTTGTTGTGTTGTCCTTTATCCCCCCCCCCCCCCCCCCCCAGTCTCGCGGTTTCGCCTAAAATGATCAAATATATATTCGTCAAAGTGACGCATAGTTTAAAGCTCCCGTCGTTTTTATTGTTGCCTGTGCCCGACAGTCCAGTACACACACTTCCTATATAAGATTTGGGGCACTACAATGCAATCAAAGGCCAGACGCGGGCTTTGCTCGCATACACTGTCGGTGCACCTCACGCGTGCCGTACTGTAATTTTCACACTCCGGACTGTGCCTTCGTCAGTGTTTTCTACTGGCCATGAGTACCACAAGCACATTTATTTGTTCATCTGTTTCTTGTATTAACCTTCAGGGCGTAAGCATTGCAGAGGGGGAAGGGGGTACACATAAATTTAAACGGAATATAACACATACAACACCTAATAAGCACTGGTTAGATGATGAGATAATTGAAGGCGCCTTTAAAAAGAACATGATCTGATTGAGACTATGGGAGCAAGAAGGTGGTTCCAGTCACAGGCTACAGTGTAGATGGCATGAAGGAGTGTGGAAGGACATTGGTGCCAGCATATGGGATGCCAACTTTGAGTTAATCGTCGAGCCTAGTTAAAGCATAATGTGGGGTCACGTGCTTCTGTTTAACTCGGACCGTCGTATGGGTCCGCGGAAAACAAGAAGAACTGGGCCAACGCATACTGTTTAAAAACAAGCCGGCCTGTGTGCAGAGCGTGCAATAACCGTTTTACCGATTGGCTCGGGTATAGTGCACATGCTGAGTACCTCGTGACGCTTGTTAGTGCACAGACAGCCGGGCAACTGACAACCGCCAAGTCTCTGCACTTTCAGGCAAGTAAGTACGTGCCACTTCAAGCTTGCTAAAGCTCCGTTCGCGTACGCATGGGGTACCACTAGGATGCAATGCTTGCAATGGACCTGTTGCAAAACGTGCGTCCGCATCGCCGAAAGGTATAGAGGGAGAGGTATGTACAGAACCGCCTGTAGCAGTAGCAGTCGAAGGCGGCGAAGAGAGATACGCAAGCGGGAAGGTGGGCAACCTCTCTTCGGGGCTATTTGTGCAAAAGTTATATTGTTTATACCGCGTTTTTCCTCAACTTGCACTCCAGCGAGATCTGCGGACGTCGCGAGGTAAATGCCTCCGTATACGGCGCCGGTTGTACCTATACTAACTCTTTAGCCGAAAGCAAACAGAGAGGGACATTCGGTTTTTAGTGCCTCTCCCGTACGTTTTCAGTCCATCTTCCCTAATATTTTCCCGAAGACTTTGAGAACTAGCGAGGACTTTGAGCACTATCGAGGACTTTGAGCCGTATCTTTCCAGTTCTTAAGTCTGTTTCTTGTGTATGGGCGAGTACTGCGTGAAGAACACTGACGAAAGCAATGAGCTCGCACTCGCCCGGCAGGTGAGAAAAGAGCCTCGCTTATCCCCACTCCACCATTCGATCACCGTCGCTTTACTTGACTGAAGAATCATTCTACTAAAAGACATTTAGAGCTTTCTGGAGCTCTTTTTCTGCGTTTTTGTGCGGCTGTGCACGTGCGTGTGCGAGCGTGTGTACGCTTGCATATGTTGCGTGCGTGTGCGTCTGTGTTTGCTTGCCAACGAGCGCTAACACTGGCGTCATCACCGGCGGATCCCGCCAAGAAGCATCCAAACAAACAGCAATTTTTCACTCAGATGTTCTGCGTCGTAGGATGCTCGCGGTGACTGACCTTCACAGCCACTCCGGCACCCATTGTTTACGCGGCTGCTGTTGTCATCACTCGCATCGTAATCCAGGGCACAAAAAGCTGCCCACCGCTCCAGCGTCCCAGCTTGTATTCGAGGGACAGAAACCCGCGCGTGGAAGGAAATTCCGGAGGGAAAGAAACATCTTGAGAGGGCGCCGTGCTCCGAGCACTGCGGACGACTCATCTCCGGTTGCGCGTGTCGAGTTGTTCGCGCCCGATGCCTTCGTAAGCGATCGGCGCCCGCTGCGTGAGACCAATATCGCGACGTCGGGGGCGTCAGTCGCCGTCTCGCGATCCTTCACTTGGCGGCGGGTTGTACCCCAGGGCCACGCTGGTCGAAACCCCCCGCGCTCCAGCTGCCTTCGCCTACGACGACGTCCCAGCGCAACATCCACAACAAGCGCCAAGTCGATGAAATGCGGCGATGACACCTCTCCTTCCGCGCTCGTTCCGCTACTCGCGAAAGTGCCGGAGTTCCGCCGACACACTGTAAAAAAAGCTCGTGCGTCTACTTGCCCGCACAACACTCGCGGAGAACCAATCACCGCAACTTACGGAGGCAGCTCAGTGAATGACGATGCCGAAACATACGTTTAGACCAAAAAACGCACTCTGAGTTGTGACATTAAGCAATGCAAAACGTCGCGCTTACATTGCCTAATACTCAGACTGCGTTTTTTGGTCTAAACATATGTTTCGGCATCTCCATTCTGTGAGCTGCCTCCGTAAGTTGCGGTGACTGGCTCGACGAGCGTAGTGCGGGAAAATAGACGAACGGGCTTTTTTTGAGAGTGTAGGTGTTGAAGGGGCGCTCGCTCGCAACGGCGGCTCCGGCGAATTGATCCGCGGGGCTAGATTCTCCAGAACGCCGCACAACTGCACTGCATGGCCACAGACCTTAACACGAGACGTGCTTTATCAATTACAAAGAGCGAGAAGGGTAAGCTGTGATGCAGATTGTCGCCTCAAAAGAAGCCTTGAACCCGATACGCGGCGACCAGTGTCACGAGGTGTTTGCTGTCGCCGTTTTGCTTCGACGCCGCTTCATAAGGCAATTAGGTATGCGGGCTGTGGCGTTCCTATAGTCTTTCTCCGGTTCCAGGCTAGCTTCCGAGTGGCTTTGCAGCACGCGCGCGGCGAACACGCGTCAGCGTATACAGGCGATCGAAGCTCTCCACTCACCTCTCCATCGGTGCCCTGCGGTTGGCGCACCGGTGCCTGGTCGCCGTTCGCGCTCGGCGACGCATCCCGGGGCTCGGGCCGCGCGTGGGCCGACTCGAAGCTTTCGAATTGTCCCGCACGCCCACGCGGCCGCCATGTTGACCGCGGAGTGCCGCCGCTGCTCTCCGACGGAGCCGGCGCCGCCGCGCGGGTCCCCCATGAAGCGCCTGCGTGGGCGTCCCCTTGTCGCGCAACCTCGCCACGCTGAGAGCCGAGACTCGAGCGCTCCGGGAATACCCGTCGAGCCAGGGCCCGTGTTCTATGCGCGTGTGTCCCGCGCAGCTGGTCCCGGCTTACCCGACCACTGACCTGCGACGCCCACATCGCTTTTTGGGCTTGGACTGCTCTTAATTCCCCTTGTGTCGTTTATGCTTTTTTTGTAGCGTGAGCTACAGTGGCCGAGGTTGAGCAGTTTCGCGTGGCTCCCAAAGAGCCGTGCTGAGCATGCGCGAGGAGCAGTGACGTCACACGGTGCACAGCTGGCGCGCCGGAGCCGCCACCGCGAAGCGCGCCTCGCCGGTCTGCGCATTCCAGAGGAGTGACGTCATAGCCGCGGCAGACGCGCTGGCGCCGCCGCGTGCCCAGCTGTGCGCCTCCGTTGCGCAGTTGCCAAGTCTGACGCTGCACCGGAGCCGTTTGATAGCGCCTCTCATTTTGTGCGCATAAGCTCACGCTCCGTATATCCTGGCATAGCCGAGCTAAGCCACCGCAATTTTTTTTTTTTTTTCTGTTAAATAACTGATGTTTACGAAAAGGGAGCTTCTGCAACCCGCTGTTAGGAAGCGAGTCTTGAGTGATGCCTGAAAGTACGTCTCGATTTTCCAGGTGCGCACGCGGCGGTTCGCGGAGCGTCGCGATGGCGTTCTGGTTTACGACCAAATCTGCCTTCACGCGCTCCAACCTCAGCTTCAATATTACAATTGTGTTCTGGCGTCATGCCGTCATAAAAAGGACTGATGCTGCGATAATCGACGGAAATAAGAGTACTGTCAGTGTCAGCGTGTACTGTGTTAGTCTAAGAACGCGATGACTCCAAACTTCCACTGTGCTCTTTACACACACCATTCATCTTGTTGCTCGCAACTGATAAGTAGACAGGATTACAACTCGTGACGTCACGGCGAGTCAAATCCTGGTAGCGACGTCACGTAGGGGCACCATATAAGGGCGCTGCCAGAACATCTTGCGGCACATCGGTGGTTTAGCCCCATGTTGCCGTACAAAACTGTCAAAAATCCGAGCTAAAAACATGTTTTTTGTTTAAGGCTTGCAAAAATACTACGCGCTGTAGAAAATGAGCCATCTGCGTTAAGTCTTTCTTCGAACTATTTTTGTTAATGTTTTTCTTTTTGACAAAAGCGGCACAAGACAAGGACATAAAGTAAGAGACGCAGCACAAGCGCTACTTTCATCTAATTGTTTATTGAAACAGCACAAACTATTTATACACCCAATCGGTCTTCTCAAGCAGGAATTCAAACTCTATCTGGTAAATGAACAGTCGGGGCACTCATGCACTGTCACCCGCCTTGCATTCTGATGTTGACTGACTCTTACAATTCTCTCGAGATCTTGTTTCTTAACTTCCCTAGAATACTTGTTTTTTTACAGTTCAGGGGAACAAGGGCATCTATCACAGTGAATAGCCAAATTGCCCGAAGTTGAATTCCTTACTGACTTTGTGTGCTCTCGTGCAATGTCATTGACGCACCTGCCCGTTTGACCTGCGTACGCCTTACCGTGAGTCATGGGAATTTCATACACGAACAAGGAAACACAATCTACGAACTTCTTCGAGTGTTTCTTTTTGCACATGTCACCCTCATCTTTTTTGTTGTTGATTTTGTGGCAGAGACACACAGCTTTCCTGGGGCCGAAAACACTAGAGGCATATCAAAATACGACGCCACTCTTTTTAGTTTGTGTGAAACCTTGTGTATGTAAGGTCTGATCACGGGTCACCCTTTTTTCCTGGACCTGGATGCTTCCTCACCATTCCTTTTTTTTAATCTTAGAAATAGCTGCTTCGGCCGCCTCCTGAAGAAACCGATCAGGGTAGTCCGATCTCAGGCATCCCACCTGGTTGAAAAAGCTCTTGTTAATGGTGTGTTGCCACGATTTTGCATGGGATGCATTCATTAGGAAGGCAGCGATCCCTCTCTTTACCAACTTAGAGTGGGCTGAATTGAAGGGCAACACACCTTTTTTTGAACGTGGTCTATGCTCCCAGCAGACGTGGTCTTCTTGCAAATGTAATCTTCAATCCAGAAATTGCAGTTTCCCTGACGTCATTGTTTCGTGAGTGAAAGTAAGGCCGTGCGAATTCAATGAGAAAATTTCTAGCAGTCTCCATTAGGGATGCCGCGAACTTTTTTCGAAAAAGTTTCGATGATCGATTCAAGCGGTTCGAAAAGTTGGAAAGATTTCGAATTTTCGAACTTTCCATATCAAGAAATTCGACGGAAGTCGAATTTTCGAACCTATTAAACTAAGAAGTTCGACACTCTTCGAAATTTCGACCTTATTACGCTGCAAAATTCGATGCTTGTCGAACTTTCGAACTCGATAGACTTAAAAATCGATGATTTTCGAACTTTCGAGCTCCTTGCACTAAAACGTTCGAAGCTTTTCGAACTTTCGAACTTCCTACGCTAAGAAATTCGATAATTTTCGAACTTTCGACCTTATTAATATAAAGAATTCCAAAATTGTCGAACTTTTGTTCGACGAACGTCGACCTTTTAAAGTAAAGTTCGACGAACTTCGACCTTTTAGGGTGAAAGTTCGAAGTTCGTCGACCTTTGATTTTCGACCGGCGGCGGTTTCATTTGGATTCGAGCGGTGAGGTACATTCGTAATTTTTTTTTTCCCGCAATTTTACATGAGGTGCCGCATTCCTTGCGAAAGACAATGCCGTTTATTTTAATAATGTGGCATGCTTGGTTTTAAAGAAATAGATTCCCGAAGGAGCGAGGAAGGACGACGGGTTTTTGACAATTGTCGTTTGTGCCATATTTGAAGCGCGCTATAGCCGCAGCTATTTATGGTAGAGAGGTTAAACTTTTTAAGAATGATCTATGTATAGCCTAGGTAAGTGTCGTCTTAAAGTATGATTATTGTTGTTCAAGACGAGTTTCGAATAAATATCCGAACATTTACCTTCGGGCAATTATGCCCTAAACTTGGTAATTTTGTTTCGCCTACATTGTTTGAGGTAGCGCATTTAAATTAACACCAGAGACAGTAAATATTATTACCATCTGCAGAATACAAAATAATGTATTTATTGTTTTTTTTTCACGTTGCTGAATAAATTAACTCATGGGGGAAGATTTCTAAAATTGTTCAAGCTCAGCACGTCATTATATATATATATATATATATATATATAGGTAAAGTAAGGTAAATATAAAAACAATGGACCGGGAAAAGTTAATAAGTCAAAGATGCGTACTGTCGGAGTTACTAACTCGAAGTTTATTACGACGTTTCGAGCGGGGACCGCTCGAAACGTCGTAATAAACTTCGAATTAGTAACTCCGACAGTACGCATCTTTGACTATATATATATATATATATATATATATATATATATATATATATATATATATATATATATATATATATATATATATATATATTCTTTTTTTTTCTTACTTTACGTTCTTGGGACGTGTTTCTCTTGGCCTGTACACATTTTGGTAGGAAAAACTTGTTTCATAGTTCTGGGCCTATGAATATGCAAGAATACAACACTTCCGGCGGGTTCTTGATAGTTTTTTTTTTCTCAAGCTTTTATTTTTGCATTTATCGTTATGTTAATTTATTTATAATTTTTTTACCAATGGCACAGTTACTTAGGTCGAAAAGACATAGCTTTGAACTTCCGAGCCACCGAGCATGTGACGAGTAGTGCCTTCAGGCAACGAGTTTCTAACAATGACCATCTACGCGATCTTTCATGTAGTGAAGAACGACAGTAGCTATACATATGCATAGATAATTTCAGATTAAAATAAGCTCGACCATGCCCTCTTTCCCCGTATTGTTTTTTTTAACAGTCCGAATTATCTGGGAGTGAGGGAGGGAGAGACTGGAGCCCCCCTCCCCCGCGTTTTTCCTCTTCCGACGCCACTGGTATGGTAGAACGCTCCTCGACCTCAAGTTGCGTCAGCTTCTGTGCTTTTTGCTCGGCGTTTCTTCCGCCCCAGAAAATAAACTTCCAAAGCAATTACAAACAAAAAAAAATGTCAAGGTGCAGGCGAGCTGGTGTATGTTGATCATGATGCGAAATCCCGAGACTAGGAATGAAATTCGCAAGAAATAGTGTAAGATGAAGGAAAAAAGGGGACAGGACAACGTCTCAAACTCAGCTGAGTTGAGTTTGAGACGTTGTCCTGAGCTGAGTTTTCAGCTGAGTTGAGTTTGAGACGTCCTGAGCTGAGTTTGAGACGTTGTCCTGTCCCCTTTTTTCTGTCTTCTTACACTTTTTCTTTCAAATTTCATTCCCGGAGCTAAGTTTGGGGCGTTGTCCTGTCCCCTTCTTTCTGCCTTCTTACACATTTCTTTCAAATTTCATTCTGTCTCAGGATTTTGCATCATGTACAAACTAACTTACTATATGCCAGCGTCACTCGGGCGGCGTTCGATCGGACTACTACCAGCGTGCAAGGGGGTAGGAAGGCAGTTTGCCAGATCACTTCAATGTTTTTCTGAGCCTCAACCACCTGCCTGACCCTGGCCGTCTCGAACTGGATGAGTATCGTTAAACAGTGCGTTCGTAGCATCACTACTTCGTGATGCACGTTAATGACCACCCCGGGCTGGCGGTCACAATTACTGATCTATTGTCACACGTCACTCTGCACTGGCAAATATTCCAGCACACCCGGGACACTCGTCGTCTCATTTAATTGCCTGACCAACTTCGCCCAGTCTAAATATCACAGCCGAACTTTTCTAAACCTGATTTCGTGAAAACCAGTGAGGCGTGAAAACGTTATTTGAAACTGAAACTGTGGCGGAACATGAAAACCGGACTTCGAACTTTGCGCACTTGGACTTCAAAAAAATTAAAAACCTTCAAAAAAAATTTTTTTTTTTTTTTAAATTTAGCTTTAAAAGGGAATCGAAACCTTCGAACTTTTCGAACTTTATGTAGAAAGAAAATTCGAAATCGTCGAATTTATTGAACTTTATGCCTTTAACAATCCGAAACGTTCGATTTTTCGAATTTTAGATCCAAAGAAATTCGAAACAATCGAAACTCTCGAATTTCAAATTAGGGAAGTTCGAAATCTTCGAATTTATCGAAACTCAAGTAA